TTGAACCCGGGAGGTGGAGGTTGCAGTGAGCTGGGCACCACTGCACTCCAGCCTGGCAACAGAGCAAAACTCCGTCTCCAAAAAAAAAAAAAAAAAAAAAAATCCATCTACGTCTTTTTCACTTTATGTTGAAATGAAACTACCAGCTCATCTACTTTGAGGTTAAAGGTATACTTTTAAAATACAATTTTAGGCAGCCATAAAAAAGAAAGAAATCATGTCCTTTGCAGCAACACGAATGCACCTGGAGGCCATTATCCTAAGCAAATTAATGCAGAAACAGAAAACTAAATACTGCATGTTCTCACTTAGAAGTGGGAGCTAAACATTGGGTACATATGGACACAAAGATAGGAACAGTTAACACTGGGAATTCCAAAAGTAGGGAGGGAGGGAGAGGAGCAAAGCTTGAAAAACTACTACTTGGGTACTGTGTTCAGTACTTCGGCGACAGGATCATTAGCAGCCCAAACCTCAGCATCAGACAATACCCATATATAGCAAACCTGCACATGTACCCCTGAATCTAAAATAAAAATAAAGCAAAATAAAATTAAAAAGGATTGACGTAGCACAGGGAAGAGCAATCTCTTCCCACGTAGCTAGAAAGTTGTGGGTTTTTTTGTTTTTTGTTTTTTAGAGACATCTCCAGTTGCCCATTTAGAGTGCAGAAGCTGCCTTGGCTTGTTGCAGCCTTGACCTCACAGGCTCAGGTGATTCTCCCACCTCAGCCTCCCTAGTAGCTGGGACTACAGATGTGCACCACCATGACCAGCTAATTTTTTGTATTTCTTGTAAAGACAGGGTTTTGCCATGTTGTCCAGGCTGGTCTCCAGCTCCTGGACTCAAGCAATTTGCCCGCCTTGGCGTCCCAAAGTGCTGGGATTATAGACATGAGCCATGAGTCTAGGCAGAAGGTTTGTTTTGTTTTGTTTTGTTTTTAAGATGTCAAAACATCATAATATATGGAAAAATTAAAAATATTTACAGTATGGGCCGGGCACGGTGGCTCCCTGCTGTAATCCCAGTGCTTTGGGAGTTCGAGACAGGAGGCTTATTTGAGCCCAGAAATTTGAGGCTGCGGTGAGTAGTGATCACACCACTGCACTCTAGCCTAGCAACAGATCAAAACTCTGTCTCTTAAAAAAAAAACAAAAACAAAACAAAACAAAAAAACTACAATAAGAAAATCTGAAAATGAAAAAAATACAGTTTTAGTACAGATTCAGTTTTTACTGAAGTTTTTTCCAGCTCAGGCCAGCATGATGCAAAGAGGTACAATTGGTGCTTCAAACAGTACATTCCTATTTGGACTGAAGACATTGTTTCCTATTGCTGCCAGCTTCTAGTGATAACTGCAGTCTGCACTATCAATCTTTTCCAGCCTCCACAGGCTGTTTCTTTCAGATAAGGAATTTCCCTTTATAAACCTGTCAGCTGACTATGACTATATTTTATTTTGTTTCTCATTTGTTTCTGTAAGCCCATCTGTTCCTGAACAGTCTCTGGTTATTGATTTGACCTTTATTTTATTGAGTGCGTGTAATAAATCCTGAAAGCCACTTATTGAAGGATTTTTAATATTTCTCCTCTCTGACGTACAGGATTCCAAAAGAGGATTTGGAATTGCAGTGTCTGGAGGCCGAGACAACCCCCACTTTGAAAATGGAGAAACGTCGATTGTCATTTCTGACGTGCTCCCGGGTGGGCCTGCTGACGGGCTGCTCCAGTGAGTGTCTCCCTCACCCCGCGGCCCCTGCCAGCCCTACTGGTTGGCCCTAGACAGGGTATTTTGGTTGGTATCCACTTTATATTAAAAAAAGAAGAAACAACAAACTTTTATATAATATTTGAAAAGTCTTCAAGCTGGAGTGGAAG